GAACAATGCATAAACCGAATTCAACTGCAGAATGATATCATGCTTGTCGATATCCCGAATGTTAACTTGAAGAAGCAGTTAGTTCGCAATAGGATGTACGATAGCGAATGCGTCTTAGAACAATGCATTGTACAATACCGCTCATAATTCGTCAAAGAAGTCGCCGGACTGCGGCGCACTCCGCCGAAGTGCGGCAGAGTGCGCCACACTCCACTAGAGTCCGCCGGAGAGCAGCGGAGTGCGCCGCACATCACCAGAGTCTGTCGGAATCCGCGTCGCATCGCCATATCTCGCTTCAGAATGGACGAATTCTGGATCCGAGGACACCAATCGATTCAGCTTGGCAAGACGCATCATCTTATATATAAAGCTGAGTGTCTGTTTGTATGTCTGTCTGTCTGTCTGTCTGTATGTCTGTCTGTACGTATGTTCCAAACAGAAAATTCATTTCTGAACCGATTCGGACCAAACTTTGCACACACACACACTTCGGGGCCGGGCGGGTGTCATAGGCTACTTTTCGTCATCGATTGACATCGATTTTATCGACTTTTCAAAAAGTTTGAGCTACGGGGCTGGGAGTTGGCAGAGGGGGTAAGTGAGCATGCTGATTACGAATTTAGTATTGACAGGGCCGGGCGGAGCCGGGTTTGCCAGCTAGTCTAGTATATAGGAGTGCCACAATCTAGCAGGATATGATAGGTATACGGTAACTATTCAGTAATTTTTCGCTCACACCGGAAGAGTATGGTAGAGAGTCACACTGGTCGAATTTGTTCTAAAACCTGTTCGAGATCACAATACCGCTCACAGAATGTGCAAAATCTCCGTGCGCGGAATTCCGGGATTTAAGCTAAAGTCCGCGACATTCTGGGAACCCAGCGACACTCCAGGAATCCGTGAAATAACGGATTTCACGCAAAATACGCAGCACCATAACTTCCTTCGGAAAGAATATATTCTGAATCAGGAAACAGCATTGTGCTCAGACCGTCAAGACAAATCCTTTGATGTACTGCATGCCCTCGATATTCCGCTTCCAGTTTTCTCGAATTTTTCTGTGGAGGTCCTTCCGCAAGAATGTAACGCAGCGTCTGTGTATCATAAAAGATTCCAGTAAGCATTATTCGACAGCATTGCTCTTGTAGGTTATCGTGCGCTAAGTAGTAGCTGCAGACTGCTTTCCAAAAAAGATAGAAGCGCTGGTGAATTCTGGAATATTCAGGCATTTTTAAATTCTACTTGCCATAACTTCCTTCGGAATAAGTATGTTTTGAATCCGAGAACAGTACTGTGCTTCGATATACAGCATGCCCTTGATATTTCGATTTCAATATTCTTGAATCTTGCTGCGGACGTCTCTTCGCGAAGGTGTAAAGCAGCGATGTCCCGAGTAAATTCCAGCAAGGACCTTTCGATAGTACTTGTTCTGTAGATTATGATGCACAAAACAGTAGCCGCAGTTTTCTTTTCAAAGGAAATAGAAGGGCTGGTGAATTGTGGAAAAATCTTGTGGTCCCAAATTCTACTCGCCATAGCCGCAGGATACGAAGCTATCTTGCTAAGCAGATGTGAGTTTCGAAATCAGCAGGTCGGACGACCTTTATGAGCAAGTTTTCCGATTTGTTCGGGTTATTCCATTTTTTCTCGCTTTACGCTCCAAAAGTTCGCCGATGGATTTTCGTCAAAATGTTGATGCTCCTGAATTGTAAGGAAACTTCGCTTATAGAGGTTTTCGAACACGCTCTTTATGAAAATCGCGGTCTTTGAGGATTACAGGGTCTTTTTGGAGAGATATGGTGAGGTGACTGCAACTGCATCATGAAAGTGCGTAAATTTGCCCGCACTTCTCGCGTATCTGTCAGAAACCTTGCCTGCTTGCTTTTCCCAGTCAAAGTTACTAAAAATTGTGCTATCAAATGGTGCATGACTCAGGCTCCAGTCTGTGTAATTCGCCGAGTTACGAGCCTACGAAAACACGTCCTCATGCATTTTGCCCACAGTAAAGATCGCATACTTCGTCAATCCACCGCGAGTGCTTGTATGACACTCGCATTGCGGATATTTTGTTCGCTTCGCTTAATGACTCCCACTGTATTGAATATGGTGGTTGAGTGTGCTTCAGCTGCTTTGTTGAATCAGCTTCGTGGCTAGAGCTCAGATCTATCTAACTGTCACCGCACAGGAAGATCCATCAAGCGATTGAACAGATTTGATTAACGTTTTGTACAACCAGTCACGGTGGATTTTCGACGAAGTATGCAATCTTTACTGTGGGCAGAATGCATGAAGACGTGTTTTCGTAGGCTCGTAACTCCGCGATTTTCGAAGATTGGAGCCTGAATCATGAACTATTTGATAGCACAGTTCCTAATAACTTTGACTCAGAAAAGCAAGCAGGCAACTTTTCTGACAAATACGCAAGTGCGGACAAACTTACGCACTTTCGTCGTGCAGTTACAGTCACCTCCTCGTATCTCTCCAAAAAGACCCTATGATCCTCAAAGACCACGATTTTCGTAAAGAGCGTGTTCGAAAACCTTTATAAGCGAAGTTTCCTTACAATTCAAGAGCATCAACATTTTGAGCCAAATCCACTGGCGAGCTTCCAGAGCCTAAAACGGGGAAAAATGAAATCACCCGAACATCTTGGAAAACGTGCTCATAGAGGTTGTCCGACCTGCTGATTACGATAATCACATCTGCTTAGCAAAAGAGCTTCCTAGTCTAGGGCTATGGCGAGTAGAATTTGGGATTACAAGATTTTTCCACAATTCACCAGCCCTTCTATTTCCTTTGAAAAGAAAACTGCGGTTACTGTTTTGTGCATCATAATCTACAGAACAAGCACTATCGAAAGGTCCTTGCTGGAATTTACTCGGGACATCGCTGCTTTACACCTTCGCGAAGAGACGTCCGCAGCAAGATTCAAGAATATTGAAATCGAAATATCAAGGACATGCTGTATATCGAAAGATTCGCCTTGAAGAGCTGAGCACAGTACTGTTCTCGGATTCAAAACATACTTATTCCGAAGGAAGTTATGGCAAGTAGAATTTAAAAGTGCCTGAATATTCCAGAATTCACCAGCGCTTCTATCTTTTTTGGAAAGCAGTCTGCAGCTACTACTTAGCGCACGATAACCTACAAGAGCAATGCTGTCGAATAATGCTTACTGGAATCTTTTATGATACACAGACGCTGCGTTACATTCTTGCGGAAGGACCTCCACAGAAAAATTCGAGAAAACTGGAAGCGGAATATCGAGGGCATGCAGTACATCAAAGGATTTGTCTTGACGGTCTGAACACAATGCTGTTTCCTGATTCAGAATATATTCTTTCCGAAGGAAGTTATGGTGCTGCGTATTTTGCGTGAAATCCGTTATTTCACGGATTCCTGGAGTGTCGCTGGGTTCCCAGAATGTCGCGGACTTTAGCTTAAATCCCGGAATTCCGCGAAGTTCACGGAGATTTTGCACATTCTGAGAGCGGTATTGTGATCTTGAGCAGGTTTTAGAACAAATTCGATCAGTGTGACTCTCTACCATACTCCTCCGGTATACTTTCTATGTGTCACTAGCGACAAACCAATGGCAATACTGTTGTCAGCCAACTGAACAATCCAACAAAACAAAAATCTGCAAAGTGAGCGAAAAATTACTGAATAGTTACCGTATACCTATCATATCCTGCTAGATTGTGGCACTCCTACATACCAGACTACTGGCAAACCCGGCTCCGCCCGGCCCTGTCAATAATAAATTCGTAATTAGCATGCTCACTTACCCCCCTGTGCCAACTCCCAGCCCCGTAGCTCAAACTTTTTGAAAAGTCGATAAAATCGATGTCAATCGATGACGAAAAGTAGCCTATGACACCCGCCCGGCCCCGAAGTGTGTGTGTGCAAAGTTTGGTCCGAATCGGTTCAGAAATGGAATTTCCTGTTTGGAACATACGTACAGACAGACATAATACATACATACAGACAGACAGACATACAAACAGACATTCAGCTTTATATAAAAGATGATGCATCTCGCCGAGCTGAATCGATTGGTGTCCTCGGATTCAGAATTCTTCCGTTCTGAAGCGAGTGGCGATGCGACGCGGATTCCGACGGACTTTAGTGATGTGCGGCGCACTCCGCTGCTCTCCGGCAGACTCTAGTGGAGTGTGGCCACTCTGCCGCACTCCGCCGCACTGCAGCGCACTCCGGCGACTTTTTTGATGAATTATGAGCGGTATTGTATGCCCCTACGAAAGGACTGGAGATTGTGCAAAGACAGGGGTAATATACCAGTTGGTGTTTAAACTGTCAAGATTGCTACATAGGAGAGACGGGTAGAATGCTAGGTATAAGGCTGAAGGAACATCTGACGGGGAAAAGACGAGGATTACTTACAGCACCGTTGGGGCGACATAAAGCTGAGAAAGTGGAAATGATTATGAAATTAAATGCACTATTTTATCGTACGAGACTGAGATACGCGCTAGAAAAGTACTTGAAGCAGCATGGATATGTGCGAGAAAACCGAAAAGGAATCTTAAGAATGAATTTCTGTCAATCAGCAGTGATCTCGTACCGTATCTATCGTTATGTGATCTCACAGCCGCACATAAAAGCCTTGACAAGCTGGGTGACAATCAGTGACGTCCGCTACTGACTATTTGTGCGGGCTTACTGAAATGCGGTGGATCCAAGGTCGGCTCGTTTCCAAACCTCGATGATCTTACGCTGCTAGCCTATGAGTAGGTCTAGAGGCACGGTGAGAGAGGAGGCTCTTGGCGGTATACTGTCCAGATTCGAAAAAACCTATGATCTTCGTTCAGACCTCCGAAGAAGACGAGACTGTTCGTCAGGTCCAATAAAGATCCACCAAAAACCTGGTTTGGCATAATACGATATATACTGACACATCTATAAGCACTCATTTATCGTGTGCATAATATAGCAAAAAATTACAGCAAAGTAACTAGGAGGATAACTTTACATGTTAGGCACTGCTCTTGGTGGTGACAGCTGGTTTAACTGTGAGCTGTCTTTTACATCTCTTCACGAAACTTCTCACCAAGAACCCATCATCAATACTTAGCTTCACAAGCTTCGCTTTTGCTGGTAGGTATTGTATGTACACTGTACATTCATTATTTCATGACTAAGCATATGCCTAAAGTGATGTTCAGGATTCTTCAAAAACTCACAATTGAATCCGGAACCAATCTCCTCACGTATAATCGTTTTGCTCTGGTTGCTCTTCAGTTTCGCCCTGACAGAATATTATAAGGTTAGTTATGTTTGCGAAGGTTCCTTAGTTTTGTGTTGATATAGCACCGTCGCTTAAGTTCCTTTTGCAGGCAAAACTCAGCAGTATTTTGTTGTTAACACATTATAGTGGAGCTCTCTTTGATAATCTTGATAAAGCAATGGACGCGATGGAATATCATGTGGTTATCGTCTTTATATGATTTGCAGTTAGTTGCTTTTTTTATTTAGGGATGGAAGATGGTAGTCAACAATTCAAGGTCACTCTTTCACTGTAATGGTGCTCAGTGTACGAGACTTCACGAGCTCCAGAAAAGGCAAGACGTTTGCTAGTGTCCTATGAATGCTCATCGAAAAGCACTCCATTTTTGGCACTTTTCCGTCATCCGAACCGATTTTTCAAGAAGCATATTGTTTATTCCCTTATACAAAATTTGGCCATAATTTTACACGAAGAAGTACCAACCTCCTGCCTGTGAAGCTATGGACAATTGGCAAAAGATTGACATGTCGTCTACATGTTTGAAGGCACCGTCCACTCTAGGGGTGTTGAGCTTTTGACATCAAACGACCTCCTGTCGTACCAATGTCAATGTCCAAGTCGCGGCTCAAAATGTAGCTTCGGAAAAGAAAAAATCACCCCGGAATAACGAAGAGGGCACGAGAACCCAAGTCGGCACCGCCCCTTCCAGTATACCCACTCATCCCTGCCTGTCCCACCAATCACAATTCACCCTGACAAATCCGCAGGTTCTCCTAAACGGAAATTATCGATAGTTTCGCGGATTCTTTATATTATATTTGCATTTAGGGACATAAGAAGGCTTCGGATCGGCAAAAACATGGAAGTCGAGAATCCGGGTGGACGATGCTTTAAGGGCAGGGGTCCCGGCATAACCCGAACTTAACAATTTTCGCTTACTTGGGCTTATTCCTCCCGCTGATTCGATTGTGCAGCTTGCAGAGCTCGACAATGTCGAAATCGGGATTTTCCTCAAGTCCCTGGAATTATCAGGTTGTCCATGAGTTCCGTTCCTTTTAACTTTGACCCGCTATAACTCGCACATTTCTCATTTCTAGATAAGTTTTAGAGTACCGTTCGATAGAGCAAAGCAAGCTCTACAAGGTGGCACCCTTGCCCTTGCACCAGCTTCAATCCACCGCGAAGCAGAAACCAAAAAGCTCAATTGCTCGAAAAATCAAGAAAAAATCGTTACTTCTTCCAAAAAATCCTTCAGAAACCTTAGCTTGTTCACGTATGCACTACCCACATGAGACATTTATATGTCCATTACTGCATTTTTTCCGTGGCTAGAACTTAAGAAAACTCGAATTTTCATGCTTTTGCCAAAGTGATGCTGTACTGTTCCCTTTAAGTAATTGTATAATACAGGTCTTTAGCAAACGTAAATTTTCCAGCTTTCTGCAAGCTTTAGTTCTCGAGAAATATGTAATATAACGTGGGAGACCTGACCAAGTTTAGCTTGTTCTAATATTTCTCGAGAACTAAAGCTTGTGGAAAGCTGAAAATCTACGTTTGTATTAGGTTGGTGCAAAAGTAATGCGCGTTTTGCGAGTTCTCACTTCGACGTGCTATAACCTTCTAAAAGGTTCATATTTTTCAGTGCGGCAAAGTTCATCAGAGGCACCAAACCTTTCCCTATACAGCGCACATTGCCTTAGGTTAACTTCGCAGATCGGTGGATATGGATTGATAAGCAAAAAAATTTTTTTTCGGAAACCTCGTTTTTAACTGATCATAACTTCCTTCAAGATTTGTCGGTATAAATGATAAGTTGACTGTCTTGTAGCCGCAAGCCAGTAGTACAAAAAAAGTGCAAAAGGGCTCAAATAAAGAGTATTTGCGAAAGGGAAAAAACAACATTCAAAATTTTCCGCTTTTTTCGACATTTTTTGTAGCCCTCAAAATCCCAAAATATGGAGATAATTTTCTGTGTACTGAACAGCTTCCACATTTCTGCAAAAACTGTCAACAAGAGGTCCATCCTTACGCTTACAGAAATGAGCAAAACCTCGGCGATTACCCTCTTCAAAGAAAATCTATGGGCCACAGAATGGTCAAAACCATCACCCATGTTGAGGCGCCGAGATCTCAGTCTAAGTAATTTCTAGAGAAACGATAAAGCGTGCATAACGTAGAAAACTTCTACTACATACAGTATTTAAATTTTCAAAACAATGCCTTTACTTGCGCTTATTCTGGCCGAAAAAGTAAGTGCAGTGAAATTCTGGTTTTGAGTGCGGTCGTGTGAAGCTCTATAAATTTTTAACGAATGGGCTAGAAGCTTCTTTCAACAACCATTGAATAGAGCATGAAAAAAGCTTCTTGACATATGCTGGCTTAGTTTCATAGGAGAAACTTCGATGGAGAAATGCTATCTTGAAACAAGGGCTAGAAAAATGCGCATTACTTTTGCACCAACCTAATACTTCTAAAGGCTTGTAGTGTACAATTACTTATGTGGAAACAGTACAGCATCACTTTGACAAGCGCATGAAATTTCGAATTTTCTTAGATACTAGAATGGTACTTATGAATGTCTCATGTGGAAAGTGCACGAGTGAACAAGCTAGGGTTTTTGTAAGATTTTTTTGGATGGAGTTAAGATTTTTCTCGATTTTTCGAGCAGTTGAGCTTCTTGCTTTCTGGGTTCAAACTCGCGGTAAATTGAAGCTAGTGCAAGCAGTAGCGTCTTCTTGTAGAGCTTGCTTTGCTCTATCGAATGCTTCCTTGAAACCTATCTAGAAGTGAAAAATGTATTATTGTGGGTCAAAATCAAAGCGGACGGAACCTATGGGACAACCTGATAGAATGAAATGGAATTAGAACGTGAGGAAGCGATGCCGTCAAGGTTAAGACACAGAGTCGCTATGGGACCCTGCAATCATGGCTGCGTGCGCTTTACGCGCTCTGGCCTGGGCAGCGTTCTAGCCTACCGTAGGATTCGGGCCACTCTCGTGGCATCTTTTAGGCCTAAAAACCCTCTTTTTCGCTCTAGATTTCGGCCATCACCTAGGTAAGAAGTCTATACTACTATAACGTAGCTTCGAACAGGAGCCTCATTTTGATGGGACGCTGCCTTTAACGGGTTTTACGAAGAGCTTGTTTAGCTACTTACCAATGTATGTTCAAATGTATTTGAATCTGAAAAAAGACGTCAAGTTGAGCCTAATAGGTTGATTTTTATTGACACATTACAGGGACAGTCCTCTTAGAAACTATGAAAATGTTTTCTAGGCTAAAGTACGTAGCTCATGTGAACATTATAAAAAAACTGAATCCAAACGAAAGATACCCCATTTTCTCTTCACAATGCTTATTCTGCAAGCATTAGCAGTCGCAGAAGCTTCTAATGTCTTGCAATAAACGGAGCATTGTTCTATACCCCCAAGTTCAGACATCTGTTTGCTACAGAAACTGCTCCTCTCATGTTTCAAAATCTTCCTTCTCTTTTGCACCTACTACAGAGAGGTAATGGTCATAATCCTTGTGTATCCCACGCTCCAACGACGATAGTTGCTTGTACGCCTGCCTTGCAACATCAAACCCTCTGTCTACATCAAGGCCTAAGCTTTATTATATGCAATGTGCTCACCGCTCTTGCCGTGAGAATTTATTGAATTTATTTTGGGACAAAATTGAGAATTCTTGTCATCTACCTGTAGCACTGCATGCTTGATGCTATAGAACTGTCGTGTACCAAACAATACTAGTTTGCTCTTACTGTGATCTGCTTCATAATTCAGGTCGCTCGTACTGGTATATAGCACTAATACGTCATTAGAAGAAGCAGCCGAAGTGGATCATCAATTTGGGTTCGGATCATTACAAAGTGATATAGCTCCACACGAGAAGACGTTGCTCGATAGTACCAAGCGTATACTTTTTGTGAGAGATCAGCTTTTAACTCCTTTGTATCGGTCGTATGCTGTGCGCAAGTGAGCTCCTAAGATGTTTTCAAAAAAAGGTTGTACTTATCAACCAAAACTCAAATACATAAAACTGTTCTCATAGCTCCAACAAAGTTCCACTCGTGAAATCGTGACAATGGTTCCATGCACGTCGCGTGTGCAATTTCGGCACGCATAAAACATTTTTGCATGCAAATGATAGCTACTAGATATTTATAGTGACTAGCTAACACTTTCGTATGACTGTCATATGCTCTTGTGGAATTTGGGCGCTTACAAAGACCGCAGTCGAAACCGTCATTGCGATTTCATGAATGCCCTGTAGCTCCTTGTTAATTTAAATGCAGTATTCGCTAGTCAGCCTCAATCACATGCACTTCCAATATTCGTCATATTTCGTTTCGTCAGGCTTTTTCAGTAAACCAATGCAGAATTTTTTTTCACAATCACCAAGATGATATTGTTGCCAATACACGCTCAAGATTATGCAGCATTACATTCAGAAAAATGCCATTGCTTTTGGAGAAACTAAATCGAGCTATAGCACGCACTCGTGACGGGTAAGTTTATTGAAATCCATTTAATGAGCTCAACCCATACAATTAAGGTTTTCCGCGATACGTAGACGCTATCGGGAACCTTTCCAACGATATGTCAACAAACATTTTCAAGAAAACCCCAATGTGCTGACATTGGCTCATCTCAAAGCTCTTTTTGACTGGACGGGACCATTGCTTCTATTTTCATTCGTAGTTCTTCTCGGAGGTAAACAGTCTGCAAATTTCCATGTGTTCTCTTCTTTAAGCCTGGACATCACGTTGACTTTGTAGATGATATTGTGCCAAACAGCAATAAGCAGTAAACATCCACCATAACAACCTGTTTGTCACAATATTATTTACAAAGTTTGAGTATTAATATGCAGTATCATTTCTAATCATTTTATCTCTTTGACGTACTAGTGGTAAGTGCTGCAACTCTGCAAATCGCTAATTACTTACTGCACTTCCCTTCTTGAATAGATCATTTCATGTATAATGCACTGGAATTTGAAAATGTGATAATTTTTCAGAAATTCTTCACTGTCGCTACAGTCAACGATTCTTGAACTGGGCTCGGAGATCAAAGACTAGTCTAGACTTCTCTCCATCTGAGGAGATGCACAATAGCATCGAGCTCACACGTTTCTCAAGTTATTAGGCTATTGGTATGCCTATAATATACAAGTGTTTTGACAGGTCCAAAACTAAATATATCAATAGAATCAACATCGTGTGCAGCTCTTTGCTTTTCCACCTTCAATTTCCACAGAAAAACACATGTAAATTGTTTTGACTGTGCCCAGATATTTTTCAATAGAGTGTGGCTTCTGTTTGATTACTTTTCTGACTGAAAGTATAGGCGCCGTAAAACCTAATTGCCCGCGCCGTGCCTTGAACACCAGCGTGAGCGAGCGGTCGTCGCGAACGACTGTCGGCGTTCACTATATTCCAAGAAAACCTTCTTTCACTTTCATGTTGTTCTCGTCAATGCACGGTATATCTTGACAAAAGCTCCCTTCAAAAGTTTAAAAAAATATGTTTGGAAAAGGTGCGCGATCATTGTCGCTCGTAAAAAGCCTGTAGTGCTTCGGGATCAAACGTTTCGCGCGTTGGTGTCCAAAGGGACGCGTGGGCAATTGGATTTTACGGGGCCTGTACAAATGTTTTCATGTCGCCAGTCATGTAAATGCACCACTGGCGATTTTTACATTTTACTGTCGAGTAGATGGATTCAACATAAGACTTTGATATACGTACACGCTATATTGCTTACGCTTATCATTGCACTTCGAACAAATTAGCGCAAAGGTCGTCTAGGATTATTTGCACCTTGACTTGGAACCATTTCCCTTGTTCATTTTGATCACTTGCTTCCTCCAATTCTGCTCATGAAAGCAAATTTCTAACTGCAAAAACCTTAAGGCATGATGCTGCTTCAGCATTCGATGTTCGCGTATACTTCGAGTAAAAAACTCAGTATCCTGCTTTTTGGTACATCATAAGATTTTATGAAATTAAAATATAGATAATTAGAATTATTACTTTTTGGCTGGTACACAAATACATTTTACTTTCTGCATAAACAACATTCGGCGATGGAATAGCTAGTAAAGAACAGGTCGAAGATGCGCTATTGATGTGAAGAGCGCGACAGGAGGATGGAAGGAGATCAGTAGCGTTTGTGAGATCGAGCACAAGCACTGTTCTGCAAAATGAAATATTCTTCGTACAACCCTTTTCAGAAGGATCCATCCTAGAATGACAGTATTTGCAACTTTTTCTCTGAGTTTCTTCCCTAAATATTCCGCACTCATTATTTGGCATTATATGGAGGAGATTGTGAGCTACAAATGCAGCCATCGTCTGCCAAATTCTGCTATCGCATGTGAGCGCTGCAGAAAGAATACGACCATATAGAGTCAAGATACAAATTATCTCAGACTTTTCAGATTAGGATAGATTAAGTCTAATGATAACTTGACATATTCGAGAATGATACTCTATTTTCAGTTACCCCAGAATCTCGGCAAACTCTGATAATGCCGACACTAGCATTGACGCTTCAGGCATTTTTGACGCATTACCACACCTTCCCTAGAGCGCCAGATCTCTCTAAACTTTCATTTGGTTCTTACTAATGCAACCTCTAGTGATACTTTATGCATATTCCGCCTCCATTTGCTTGACTCAGGTCTACATGGTTTCGTTTTTGCTCTAGAACCGTAAAACCGCGAATTCACCATTCTTCAGAGTTGCTTAGTATTTGCTGCTTTATTACCAAAAAACAAGCAGCTATCAAAAACAACAACAACCGCTTGCACTTAGTTGCTTCCATTCGCTTTTTTAGCACAGTGAGTTCAGCAGATTTAAAGCGCTTACGCGAGCTTAACATGTCAAATCGAAAGGTGGCAAATTGATACAAGTTGATGGTACGAGAACCTCTCTAGAGCGCAACGATATGCATATTTGTAGCTCACATGACATTCCACATAATGCCGAAAATTTGAGTGCGCCAAATATAACACGCTGGCGACCTTGCAAATTTTGGTTTTCTGTCTTTTGTGACGAGCTGTCATGGATCACTCAACATTTTTAGATAAGATCACGCATACTGCCATTTACAATACATCAATAGTAACTCTGTGAGACTGGCAAAATAAACTTAGTTTTAGCTCCATCGCAAAACAAAACTCCTGAAGTGAGTTTGTCCCAGGATAGTCGCCACATTGCTAAACTTAGACCTTGACACATCATGTGTGTCCTGTTCCACTTGGTAGTCATTGATGACGCAGTATGTGAGTCAAGCGATCGTCTATGTTATAAAAAGCAAGAAACAAAAAAGTTGTAGTACTCTATTTCCAATCCGATAAATGGACAGGTTAACGAAGCCGATATATGTAAGAATCAAGGGAATAACTAACCTGAGCATCTAACTATTAGCCAAATCTGATAAGTGGCGAAGCTTCTGGCGAACGGCCGAACCTGAAACATCATTTTGGGGAATTGTGGTGTATAAGCTCGTCTTTTCCTTAAGATGATGCAGATCGACTCCAAAAAATGCGCAAGTAAATATAGTCAACAACTACCTGAGAAGTGGCGCTGCGTCCATAGATCGGCCAAATCTGACAAGTGGTGCAGAAACGGAACGTCCGAATCTAAAACTTTATTAATTTGTTTTTATGTTAGAGATTCAATCGGTGAGCAAGTAGCAAAAAATAGCTTCGTGTAAGACTTGTCCTCTCCACCTTTACCACACTGCAGATACCATGGCCCTGCGCTACCCACAGTGCTTGGTGATACACCATGTACAACGCCCTCATTATGAACATGACTGAGGCAAAGCACACCTTAACAATTGTTACAGAAGGTCTAGGGCGCAAAGCTTCCTTGTCAACTGCTCAAAACATTCGCACACTGTTCTGTCTACCGCACCTTTGCTCCGCTTGGTTCCCTCTCGGCTCCCGCCAGAGTGCCGAAGCCATGCCAGCGCTACGCCCCAACGAAATACACGTGTATCGATCGAAATGCTGGCGTGCGCTGGCATAACTTCGGCACTCTGGCGGGAGCCTTACTGACCGAGCCGGGCAGAGCCTGATTTGCCAGCTAGCAAGTAAATAAAAGTCACGAGGATATAAGAATGATTAGTTTTAGGAAATACAAGTTTCGCTGAACATCAAAAAATACTCCAAAACTTGTGATTATGGGACGCGACAATGAGGTTTATCATCCTACTATAACAACGCGCTAAGAGTGTTTACGTGTTTTTGTGTGTGTGTCTGTCTGAATGTCTGTCTGTCACGAAATTCGTAGAGCGTGTTCCAGCCAACGTCCTGAGCTCAAATTTTGCATAGCACTTGCTACTGGCATGAAAGTTCAACATGCAAAAGCGCAAGCAGATTTGTGTGATCTCTTAAAAATTGCGCGTCAAACGGATCCACTTTGCATTTGGCCCATACTGGGTCCGTAATTCCACTTTTTGCAGAGTGGTGGATGTTTATGGCAAGTAAATGTGCAAGCCATGAACGTAGGTCCAAAAAAGTGATCAAAAATCTATTGCTTTACAAAAAACGACGCCAAACAGTACTGATTGCGTAAATGGTCAATCTGCCAAGGATTTACCAGAGCATTTGAGGAGATTTTTGCACAAAAATTTAGCTCACGGTGAGTACTGTTCTTTTGGCAACTGTCAAGACCATGGGAAAATCAAAAACTTTGAAAAATTTGCGTTTTTTCTCTTGCAAAAAGTTTCATCCCACGCGAAATGACCGATTTCACATGAAAATGCTTCCAGAATGAGTAGTTGTTTATACAGGGTGTCCGTAAAGTATGTATACACTGTTTGATCGTTGATATCTCTTTTATCAAAAAGTCTTTTGCCTTGCTTCAGGTACCGTTTTGTAGAGCTGGTTTCAACTTAGATTTACAGTATAGAGCGAATAGTCCATCTTTCTCCTTTACTGTAGGATTACGGTAGAAGGTTGAAAGAGGGTTTTGGGCCATGAAAGGCCATATTTTGCCTCAGAAAGGAGACAAAACAGCCTGAAAACTTTTACACTAAGCTAATTAGAGTTGCTGATTCTAATTGTAAAGTTCCCAACTTATTCTGATGCTTCATTGAAGAGTTATGCCAGGTAAAAGGTAGCGGCCATTTTTTCAATGTTCCTAAAAAGTGCGGTTGCACCGTTTAGAAAGCTTCGCAATCTTGTGAATAGTTGAGTATTGAATTCAGCGTCCATAAAAACCCTATTACACAAGTTTTCACATTTTTTTGAAAAATTTTGAAACAGCAGCTTTTTCCACATTGACACCATATGTTTCAAGTTTCTACCGTAATCCTACAGTAATGAAGAGAGACGGGTGATTCGTTCTATACTGCAAATCTAAGTTGAAGCCAGCTCTACAAAATGGTAGAAGCAAGGCAAAAGACTTCTTGCGAAAAGAGATGTTAACGATCAAACAGTGTACGCATACTTTACGGACACCCTGTATTTTGTTCGTGATACTCGGCATTGCTTGGTGAGTTTCAATGTCATCATTATGCGAGAATGAGTAGAGCCTAGACAGCAAAGCCAGTGCGAGCCTCTGCGAAGCAGAGGTGAAGCACTGGTAACTTATGATAACGGGCTGAGGGTTGTTTGCGTGTTTTTGTGTGTGTGTGTCCGAATGTCTGTCTGTCACGAAATTCACAAAGTAAGTTCCAGGAAAGGTCCCGAGCCAGAATTTTGACCATAGCACCCTGTCAGCATATAGATCAAGTTTGCAAAAGCACAAGCCGATTTAATAAGCGGAACCTTTGGAAAGTGTGCGCTGAATGGATCCATGCGGCTTTTCGCCTACAAAAGTGGATCTGAACCAAGTCTTTTTGCAAAATTATAGAGTTCTTTGGCATGTATCCTTCAAGCCATTGACTGTAGCTTGAAAAATTGATCAAAATTCGCATTCTCTTGCGACAACGGCGGCAAAAAAATGAAGCATAGATGGTCATTTGTAAAGGTTTTACGAAGGAAATTAAAAAGAATTTTGCTCAGAGATTTAGCTCTCAGTTGTCGTTGCCATTATAGCAACCATCAAGCCATTATAAGTTTGTTAACCAACTCAAATTTGCATTTATTTTTCGGCACAGAAACTTCCTCCTCTCAAAGTCACCGATCTTACATGGAAAAGCTTTAGGAATGAGCAGCTGTTTACCCTTCATTCGTACTGGCCAGCATTGCGCGGTGACTTTCACAGCCATCATTAGGTAAGCAGGAGGAAGGCACAGATTATGGATTCAGTGCAAGCCTCTGCGAAGCAGAGGTGACGCACTGGTATGTTATTAAGTTGGGAAACTAGGTTTTGCAACTCATTCAATAACTTTCCTCTCTCCTAACATGGTGCACTCAAATTTTGCCATTATGTTTGTTACGACGTAAGCTACGAAAGCAGCTGCTGTTCTGCCAGATTTTGACGTCGCAGTGAGGGTTACGGTAGGTATATGGTATGAAGGAAAAAGTTATAAAATCTGACAGATCTGGCTAAAACTTGGCATAGGGGGGGGGGGGTATCTGAAGTGCTGATCAGGAAAACGGTAGTAAAGTTGCGTGATAAGAGCTTTTTTGTAAGGTTACTGTAGGGTTACGATATAGGGTCTCACTCTAAACAAGGAAAGAGGCATTGATAAAAAAAACTGTTATGGTATTTGTGTTTGGCAGGTCAGATAACCTGAAGTCACGGCGAATTTTGAGGTTCTGACTCCATGCTCATTGACGGTTACCCCTAGCAGTCTTGCGTACAGCGGCTCGGTCGAATTCGCCAAATCTTGACATGCCCCTATATTTTAATTCTTTCTTATTGGCCCGATTAAGTCAATCTTTAGCAACAACAAGCGAACACGATTCCGTATTATTGCGCATGGTCAAAGCTGCTAACGGCTCCTTTTGGCTTACAATCCAGAAATTCTTAAATTCTACTTATTTAATGCTTGGTTCAAAATACAAGCAGTTTGTGCGCGGTTGTAGCAAACATTACGCTCTACATATTGCCAAAGTTTGAGTGTGCCACATTTGAAGAGAGTAAAGTTATGAGAGTAGTTGCAAAACTTAGTTTCCAGCCTAAGACTACATCCATTTACTTCTGACAGCACCTCTATGTCCTAGTTGCATATTTATCAACAAGGTGCAAAACTGAAAGAAAATTTCCAAATCCTCACCTAATAAGTGGCGCAGCAGATCGTTTACCGAAGCGAATCAACGGTTGGGCGTTCGGATTTCTGCCAAATCTGGAAGAAGCTTGCTCTTAGTCATATTGGTGCAGTTTTCATAGACCATCTTTTTCATTAGATATAGCACCCACTGTTTGCTCAAAATATTGAAAAATGTTAGACTAGGTTCTATTTACCGAATCAGAGGAGCACCATCCGGAGTTCGCTTACCAAAGCGAATTAATGGCTGAGCATCGGGTGCACGGCCGAATCTGAAAATCAAGCGTCAAAAGCCACGATTTGCGATCTTTACGGAAGAAAACTTGTTTCAAGAAATACGGTTTTCTATTGGAATAATAAAACGTCTAAGGCTTCTTTGTCAAATATCTATAAATAATGATTTACCTAATTAGAGGTGCTCCTGGATCTCGTTTGCCGAAGCGAATTAGTGGACCCGCGTTTTCCTAAACCACTGCAACTTCAAGTGATAATGATTTTCACCGCATAAATTTATTATAAAAAAATCATGCACTATAACCTTATTTTAATCCCTACAGTTATGTAGATTTAGCTACGATTTAGTGACTGTGCGGTGCTGACAACATTTGAGCGTAAAAGCAATAGAGCGCACATTCTCAAATTGTGACCTGCAGATATTGCAGGCACTGCACGGACAATAATATCAACCTTTGAATTTATTAGTCTTCAAGTGTTAATCTTTTTTATACAATAATCCTCTGCCGTGAACCAAATGTTGAAAACGAAAAAAAAAAGGCTTAACTCCAGACAACGATATTTAGGCGAAAGTGATCTTTGTTGTCTTTTTTTGGTACTTTTGATCTTCATATACATATTTGTGTGCAGATTCGAGCACATTTCTTCAAAATTTATCTCTTTTTATAAGTTTGAGGCTAGCGAAATTTGAAAAGGTTATCACCTACAAAAATGTAAAATTTTCAAAATCTTCTATTTAATTAACCAGCCAACTTACATCGAACGAGCGCTCTTCTCTTGGAAGACTCAATGAGTTTGATCGTTTCTCACCGGGATCTGCAAATGGAAACATTATAGAGAATGTGTATCAAAAATTTTTATTTGATCAATAAACTATTCCACATGAATGATAAACAATAAACAACAAAACAGCAACAAACAGTAGACATGCCTTTTGACAACAAGTGGAGAAAAACAAAAGTGTGCCTTACCAATGCCAAAGAACCACATCCCACGTCCACGTTTTCCACTTAAAACTGAAAGACAAAACCGAATAGAATCAACTTAGTGAACAACACGACTAATCATGCATAACCAGGGGAATTCTACTCTGCAAGCAAGGGACCACTCAAAACTTATGAAAAATATAGTTTATTTTCAAACGAATAAACTAACATTCATCCTCAAGCATTCGAAGTTCGGATGAATCGAATGCTGTCGCAATCCCCACAGTGAGCATCAGAACACACGCCCGCAACATTTGGCCGAGTTTCTAGCTATAATTTTGATAAAATATTTGACTTTCAAAACTGATGATAGACGCAGATAACGAATGGAAGATAATGCAGACATCGGACAACATAGTAGCCTAAGTCAGAGAATTCCATTTATGGTAACAAAACAAATTTTGAAAAATTTCCTTTATTGTGGCGACAATAGGAACTTGACAGTTTGACAATATCCTTGGAGTTGGACATTTGCCAAGATGCTTGTGAAAGTCAAAGTGTACAGAGAGAAATAAAGGATGATGTAGATCGAACAATATCACAATCACATCTTTTATGCGACTCAAGAAATCTGAAAAGAACTCTAAGATTCTTATATTCAAGACGAACTGAAGCAAAACCTTTTGATATGACATTAAAGCATGAATTATTGGAATTTGAAATTCCCATTGTTGTTGACCTCAGAGAATTTGCGATCATAAAAATAGGAATTTAATCGCTGGAACGGCACAGCACGACAAGATAACCTCTATCTACAAAATTATATCAGTTTATAATTCTAAAAATTGACTTTTTCTATGGTGTTTTAGCCAATACGTTCATAATATTCCAAATAAGTAACCCCGAAATTAAAACTCGTCAGCTATTGTCTCCAAGGAATATAATCAGAGACGTTATTTTCTTTTTTTTTCCTCCACTAAATTGATGTATTATTTATTCATTAATCATTTTTGTCTAAAATAAAATTTGGAATTATAAATTTACACACAAAAAATAGCTACAGACAAGGCTAAACTGTATAACCGAGCTGCTATCCAAGCCGAAGCTCTCGATGGGAACGAAGCCATTCTTTCTTGCTAATCCTTTGGTGCTCCAGCGCCATAGCATTTCGTTTGTGCTTGCTATTTTACTATGCCTCGATGTCATTCAAGATAAAGTACAGAAAGATTATAATGGCTTTCATGCTAATGACAATGAAAGCATAACAAACATCCGTGGAGAGAGAGTTTTCAAATTTCTTCTTTGATAACTTTTTTGGATGCTTTCCCTGCTATCAATTTTAGAGAAAACAAAGCGGAAGCGATGATTGAAAGGTCGTTTGTTAAAAATCAAGAGTTCTGTTTTATTATACTTTACTAATGCGAACTTCATGTCACCTCAGTAGCTTTTTATTCTAACAGCATGAAGGTTCAACACAGCTGATGATGTGATTTTTTTTTTCTAAAAGGATAGAAATAGTCCATCACGAAAAGGACAATCTGCACATGCTGATAGAAAGTCATCAATTCCTTGTATATGATATACAGTTGTCATGAAAGTGCAGGTTATTCCAATATTGTGAAGCAGTGTTCCCGATCCAGATTACAACAATGGGATTGAGTTTTTGTTCTTGAAAAAAAATCGATCTTTGTAGGTGAAAATTTCGGACTCAAATAAAAAGCTTTCATATTATTGCAACCACGGAACTTCTCAGCGTTGCTGCCACCATTCAAAATTTTCAAGGGGCTGTAACTAAGCACGGAGGAGGGGTTCAAGGCAGTCTGGGAATTAATTTGTAGGTTTTCGGAAGTAATTGAGATTAATGTAAAGGAGGTAAAAAATTATGTGAGGGGAAGGAAAATCTACGGTTTTTTTCCAAGCCACCACAGGTGACTTCCAAGTGGCTTATAAGCCACCTAACTTCTAAAAATTTGGGCATCCCTTCAGTTCACATACTTTTTTGATGACTAATACATAGTCCGAACTTTCCATTGCCCCTACACATCCATTTTGGTGTCATCTCATTTTCCTTGCTGTAAACAAGCCTTTTGTCTTTGGGAGAGCATGCCACCAGCATTCCGGCAGCATGCCGACGGCGGTATGCTTTCCCGCAAAAACGATAACCCCTTTGCTGCCTCTCCTGAAAACGATATACAGCTTGCTTGGTAATCATCATCATAATGCTCTGCCCTGCTTCCGCGACCGTCTGCGCTTGCCGCGCTCCTGTAACCCATCTCCTGACTGGATCAGAATCTCTTAGGATCAGAGGTGCGATAGGGGGAGCCAAGTCTCCCCCTACCTTCACTTTTGAGCTGGTACGGGGTGACCACCTTCACTTTTGGAATAAAAAATTTTTCGCTGGACGACAAAGAAGGAAAATAAGCAAAACAAACGCAAAAAAGATTATTGAAAGCATATATTTATGTATACGGCGGCATATATATTTAAAATAAAGGTTTTTAGTAAATGGTGTATTTGAGAGTAAAGCTTAGCAAAACTGTACGGATTTTATTAAGCAAATTATGTTATAACGTATAGCGAAGGAAGTAGGTCGATCCAGGCAGTAACGGCGGAGAACCAGAATTTTGAATATTTAAATAGTGAAAAATCATGCGAAATTTCCACTGTTATAAATCTGTTGTTTGAAGATGTCAGCAGTTGCGACTTCATAGGTTTTGAAGAGTAGATGTTGCTCTATCAGCTAGTGAAGAAATCGGGTCGATTTAAGAGATAGTCGTTGAAAACCAGAGTTCTAAATCTTTACGCCATTTTTGCGTGTTTTTTGACTGTTGAGAGTTAAACTCTTATAAATCTTGAATGTGGAAGTGTATGATGTTGCGACTTCATAGGTTTTATAGAGTAAGGTTTGCCTTATCAGAATATGTCTTGTCCGTTCCGATCCATTGAAACACCTCCGAGATCCAGAGTCATGAAAAAGCAGGTAAAAAAGAGCTTTTTGAAATTCAACAGCTCATAACTTCTTCAGGATTGCACGAATCATGTTGCGACTTCATAGGTTAGATTCTTCTCGTCAAGAGCTTTCAGATGATATATAATATGTGGGGGTTTCGCGCCTCTTACGGCATATGCCCGGGGGGGAGACTTTTTAGGCCAAAGTCTCCCCCGGCAGCCTCCAGCCAATACATTAAAATGGGCGAGGGGGAGACTTTGGCCTAAAAAGTCTCCCCCCCCCCGGTCATAATTCGCAGGAGGCTCTAAACCCCCACATATTATATATCATCTGAAAGCCCTTGATGAGAGGAATCTAACCTATGAAGTCGCAACATGATTCATGCAGTTCTGAAGAAGTTATGAGCTGTCGAAGTTCAAAAAGCTCTTTTACCTGCTTTTTCATGACTCTGGATCTCGGAGGTGTTTCAATGGATCGGAACGGACAAGACATATTCTGATAAGGCAAACCTTACTCTATAAAACCTATGAAGTCGCAACATCATACACTTCCACATTCAAGATTTATAAGAGTTTAACTCTCAACAGTCAAAAAACACGCAAAAATGGCGTATTTAGAACTCTGGTTTTCAACGACTATCTCTTAAATCGACCCGATTTCTTCACTAGCTGATAGAGCAACATCTACTCTTCAAAACCTATGAAGTCGCAACTGCTGACATCTTCAAACAACAGATTTATAACAGTGGAAATTTTGCATGATTTTTCACTATTTATTTATTCGAAATTCTGATTCTCGGCCGTTACTGCCTGGATCGATCTACTTTCTTCGCTGTACGTTATAACAAAATTTGCTTAATAAAATCCGTACAGTCCAACAAACTTCTACTTCCAAATACACCATTTACTAAACACGTCTATTTTAAATTTTTATAAATAAAATTTATAGATATTTTTAATATTCATCGTATCTGTGGCCCTAAAGAGGGCCGTTGGGTCGACGTTAGACCTAGAAAGATAGCTCCGTTCGTCCGTTCTATCCTCCCCCCGCACCTCCCCCCCCCCCCCGTCGACGTTTTTGGGAGGTGAGTGTCCGACACTACCACCTTCACTTTTGGCCGGCCAGTGGTAGCTGAAACCACCTTCACTTTTGGGGGACCCGGCTCCCCCTATCGCACCTCTGCTTAGGATCCGATCCGAATCCAATTCGGATCGAAGGCTACGACGCCACCCTGGATAGATTAAACCGTTAATTCGCATTACGTAAATAAGATACCACTTCGTCCAGTGCTACCGATGGGGTAGAAATCCATTTGCGGATACGATCGCAAGCCACCAAAGACGGCAAAGACGTCTTTTTTTCGCTTCTGCTGATGTTAAACCGCATATCTCTACCAAACTTCCTACATGCTCACTCAATCTTCCAAAATTCTCATACTGCTTAATCGTTTATAGAAATTGTTTATCGTTTATATGCGGAAGCCTAACGAGGACGGGAGCCAAACCTGACAATACGAGCGATAAGGGAATGCTCGTACGGTTTAAATAGGTGAGAGGGGGGGGGGGGGAGGCGCAGCCAAAATTTCTTTTCAGATGAAGGTGCGTGGCATTAGCCACACACTCTGAAATTTTTGATGTGCTTCCCAGAATTTTTCGGACCTATAACCCCTAAATTTACAAAGGGGTGGCTGCAGCCAGACCCTTGGAGAGAATTTTTATAATAATTTGAATTTTCAAAAATGTTAAAAATTCTTTTATTTTATTTTAACTGTTAGTTTTTTTTGAAGATCACAAGAAGAGAAAAACACTCTTCAAGTCAAAAAATCAAAACAAAAGATGTTTCACGCCCTCCCGTCGTTGTACCGAATTGATATTAGGATTTTTGCTCGACTATGTGATATTTTTTCCAGTTTGTAGATTTTTCAAAGTACATGGTTTTTCGATTAGAAGTCAGACTACATTCCAAAGTGTACTGCAAATCATTGCAAGCTCAATAGTGTAGTAATCATTTGGCCACAAATTATGCAAAAATGCAAAGTTTGAATTGATATTGAGCTATATTAAAACGAAACTCACATTTTTCAGTTCCGAATGCCAAGCAGAAAGTTTTGCAAAGCAGGACAAGCTCATAAAGCAATTTCTTCAAGAATATATCAGCATACTTGTAAAACTATAGAAATTTCGAAATCATTTGATCCAAAATATGCTCACTCATAAAAACTCTGTCTTTAAATGCAATGGGAGCTCGTTTGTACCGTAATCTTGCAGTTGGAAAGTGCTAGAATATAATGCGAAATGCAATTCATTGTGGATATTGCTGTGCATGGAAGTTCAAGTCAGTGTCTGCTTCTATAAGTTTTCTGGAAATTTCCGGGGGAGAAGG